GAAGATGCTGTGGTAGAGGAAATCACATGACATGATGCTTGTGCTTTGCATATTCTGTCCAGTGCCAGATTAGTGCTAGGACTGTAGCCCATTCATTCACTCTCATTTCACTTGGGAGCAATCCCTGGAAATTAGAGTGATACCAGGCCAGTGAAAGTATAGTCAACCAAGGACCTGGAAGGCAAAAAGGAAACTTGGGTGGGAGAGACAGAAAGTCATCCAAAGCTTTCTTTAAACAAAGGAGTTGTCACACAGTGTCCTTTACTAGGTAATCTATTACCTGACATAGGGAAATGTCCAAAAAGACAAATACTAAGGGAAAAAATATGACACCCAAGATGACAGTAATTTGTTAACCACAGCATCAGCTTAATACAGTGCTTTGTGTACATTAACATCTGTAGCCATGGTAAATATTGAAAGCAACTCAGCATCCAAGTAGATACACACATGATGCTTCTGGTCCTTGTCTTGCAGACAATGTTCCTGCCATATCAGTAGACCTACTCTTGTACTGTGAGTTCATCAGTCACTGGCTCAGCTGTCTGTCACAGACTGTACTACTGCCTGCTGTCTTATTTCAGGAGCTATCAATTCAAGATAGTCAGCTTTCCTCTCTGTAATCAGTGTGAGAATTTGGAAACAATTATTGGAATTAGATGAGTGACCTCCTAAATGTGCTAAAAAAGAACAATATAAAACCCTAGAGCAGTATCTCCAGCCTTCAAGAATAAATGTTTTAAGGGTGGAGTTGATTCTTGGAAGTGGCTTCCACTTATAACATCAGAAATGAGTTAAAACTCTCCTTCCCTCTCAGATTGTTTATATTCTTGTGTTTCAGTTTGTGTTACTATTTCTTGTTATTTTTTTCCTTTTCTTATTTGTTTCATGATTATTGCTTAATTTATTATGTAGAATTTTTTCATGTGCTTTTGTCTCACTTATACAGGTGTTGTTTCAGGACTTAAGGGCCATAGTTCTCATGACCCGAAAGCTACAACTGTAAAGGCTTCTTTCAGTATTCTCAGGTTTGAGGAACCTCAGACCCAAAGTCAGTTCGGTTTCAGTACTCCAGAGCCACTGTGAGGATTAAGCAGGTCACTTACTTTCGGGATGTTTCTCTGTCATCATATCTGAATGCCCCATCTATTGTACCATAGGCTGTGTGAACTACAGAAGCTTTTTTTGGGCTCATGTATTCGGTGGCCACGACATTTGGGTTCTTTTCCTCCTCTGACTTGGAGCCATGATGCCATCTGAGTCTTTACTTTTTACCTGATGACTTTCACAGATGCCATCCTTGGGTCTCAAGTATGGGTGTGAGGGTTAATCTTGGTTGTGTGGAGGAGCACATAGGGTCAGTGAACCAACCTCTGTCATAACAGAAGGGATTTCAAAAGACTATTTGATATTATTTATCTAACCTAGGCCATGGTATTTCACTGAGGGATTCAGAAAGTGAATAGCCTACCAGAAGATCCCTCCCTACACCCCCCCAAAGGAGATTAGGCTTGGTCTAATTGGAGGAAGTGGTCCCTATTAGCCTTTCAAGGGTGCTTCTTGCCTCTGGCCTCTTGTTACCACCCTCTGCTTCCTATCTGCCCTGAAATGAGCAACACTTCTCTGTCCTGACCTCCCCACCCCTTCCTGCCTTTCCCCAGGCCCACTGACAGGGCTCAGCAACAGGACTGGGATCCTAAAACTTACAAAATGTTTCAGTTGTTTCTGTCAGGTATTTCTGTTTAATACACACACATACACACACATGCGCACACACACACACACACACACACACACAGGCACATACATACGTGCACACACACCCACACCCATTGGAGTTTTAATGGCAGTATTGTTATATTAACAGTATTCTGCTAAGTGGAAAAAGATTTCCTTTCATATTCATATACTTACTTTTCATATACCTTCCTTAATCTCAGCTATCATATAGTTTATAGTTGGTAAGGCTTTTGCCTATTGGGTTAAATGTTAGTTTAAATTTTATTCTTGCTGGGCGGTGGTGGCACACGCCTTTAATCCCAGCACTCGGGAGACAGAGGCAGGCGGATCTCTGTGAGTTCGAGGCCAGGCTGGACCGATGGCCTCCAAAAACAATACAGAGAAACCCTGTCTCGAAAAAACCAAAAAAAAAAATTTATTCTTATTGATTCTGTTGTCAGTAAACATACTTATATGATTGTTTTCTTCAGCTCTTCAATTTCCTCAGATTTATTTTATGTTTATGGGTGTTTGCCTACATGTGTACTTGTGTACCACATGCATTCCTGATGCCTAAGAGAGGCCTGAAGGGTGTACTGGGTCCCCAGGAGCTATAGCTGTAAATGATCATGAGCTGCTTCAACTTTGTGGTGTTTGTTTTCTACCTCTGATTATTTTTTTTTCTTTTGGTGGATATTTTATTTTTGTACATATTTTTTATTATTTATTTTTAAATTTAAATTTAAATTAGAAACAAGATTGCTTCACAAGTCAGTTCCAGGTCCCTCTCCCTTTCCCTTCCCTCCTCCTGTGCCCTCCCCCCAACTCCCCCAAAATTCCCTCATTTCCCCAGGGAGGGTGAGGCCCTCCTTGGGGATGTCCATAGTCTGTCATTTCATCCAGGGCAGGGCCTAGACCCTCCCCCAAGAGTTCAGGGTGAGAGTGCATATCACATTGTTGGATGGGAGTACAAAGTCCATGTGTAAACTCGGGATAAATAGTGATCTACTGCCCAAGGCTCAGTAGATTACCTAGGCCTTCTCACTGACATCCCCTTTCAGGGGGTCTTGATCAGTCCCATGCTGGATTCCCAGGCATCAGCCTGGGATTCAAGAGTTAACCCTTTTCAGGTCAGCTGTTTCTGGAGATTCCTCAGAAAAATGGGAATAAACCTACCACAAGACCCAGCAACTCCACTCTTAGGCATATATCCAAAAGATGCCCATTTCTTTTCCACTGTGTTCATAGCAGCATTATTTGTAATAGCCAGAACTTGGTAGATACTTTATATGATGTATGCAAGATCATATGACCTATAAGTAAAGGTGGTGTTTCTTCTCTTTTTTGATTTCTTTTCTTCAGTTGCTCTAGCTAAAACTTTTAGAAGTGGATTGACTAGAAGTGACAAAAGCAACCATCCACATTATATCATGTTTTTCACCATTAAATATGTTTTCCGTAGAGTCTTATGTTAGTCTTTATCATATAAGGAGGTTCCTTCATGAGAGTTTATTGATTTATTTTTTACAGTAGCTATATGTTTCTCTTATAGATTTTTTTCATGGTTTTTCAAGTATAATGAACCAACTTGGTAGTGTTTCTTATTACTATATCTGTTTCATTTCTATTTATGCTGACACTCAGCTTACTATGCAGCCCAGGCTGCCCTTAAACTTGGATTTGCATAGCAGTCTTCGTTCTAGGTTTATAGCTGTGCCCTAAAGCATGAATTACTTAGTTAATACTTAATTATTATTTAATTGTCTCGTATGTATAGGTCTCATTCTGTGGTTGGCTGTCCTGCTCTCTCATTCATGATGATTTACCTCCTAGTAGATGTGGTATTGATCCTTAATATGTCCTATGTAGGGATAGTTGTAAATCGGTGATTAAACATATTCTTAAAGGGATGATACCAAGTACTGGAGAGTACTATAAATACAAATTACATTAAATTGGTTTCTGGCTTTATTCATTATCGTTTCTGTCTATATAAAGAGAGCAAATGTTCTGCCACCATAAAATTAAATTTATTTCTAACAATTTTTGGTGCTGATGTTATTCTCTTCCTGGTGTGTGTGTGGTGTTGTTGTTGTTTTATGGCTTTATTTGAGACAGGTTCCCCCTTGTGTAGCCCAGGCCAGCCTTGAACTCATTCATCCTTCTACCTTTGCATTTTGAGTGCTAGAATCACAGCTTTGTACTACCATGCATAGCTTACAGCTGGAAATTCTTAGGGAAGAGCTTTCTTTTCTGTTCTAAGCCTTGGCAAGTGAGGAACATTGGAAGGATGGATAGTTTGCTAGTTCCCATGCAAAAAGAATCAGGATCACAGATGTAGGTTTCTCAGCTTTGTATTGGATCTTCAAATTATTTCCTGTCCTCATAGGGTCTGTTCATTCTTCCCTGTACCTATAAATGTATGCTAGTTTACTCCAGATTGCAGGTTGTTGTGAGTTAAGTATATGCCCAAATACAAATAGGAGGGCCACGGCTTGTCTTCGGTGAGAGTCAGTCTTCTCACTGTGCTTTAATTGTTGAATCTTCTCTTCTTCTAATGCAGGTTTTAAGTAAGATTTCCACACATCATGCTATGTCAGGTGTTCTTTAAAAGGGAAAGCATCTCTGCATATCTAGTATACACATGCTGTAAACAAAATTGTAAACCATTCTTTATATTGTGCTTTATGTAGGCAAAGATCATAATGTAGGTGAAGATTTTTATATGTAAGCAGTTTTCAGGGTTTATTGTATCACATATTTTGTATCTTATGCTAAAACTTTTATTGACAGTGTAGACTGGTTAGGTGAGTTGATGCTTATATGGTGATGTGGTTAATGGTATTTTCCCCTTAAAGTTTTTTATTGTTTTTCAGTAATTATATGCATGGTTGCCTGTTTGTGGTTACCAACCCATGATGTAGGCACCATCAGAGCCTGGAGGTGTTGGATCCCCTGGAGCTGGTGTAATGTGTGATTGATTATGAGCTACTGCTCTGGGTATTGGGAATTGATCTTGCATTTTGACAGAGCAAATTCCCTTTACAAATACTTTTTAAACTAAGAAGGAATGCAGATAATAGTATACTTTCTTTGGAAGATACAGTTTATAAGAAATACATGTATTTCCTTCATCTAGAGGTAAGAATGCATTGTTGGATCGTTGTAGAGAACAGTAGCCTCTTTATATAGCTGATTCTTACAATGAACTAGAAATATATATATGTTGCTTTTCCTGGTTTGCAGCCTCAATAGTGGTATGTCTTAATTTTTTCCTGCAGGTTTTCTTTAGGTGATGCTAGGAGACCTCTCCATGAAACAGCAGTTTTGGTAGAAGATGTGGTTCACACACAACTAATTAACCTGGTAAGATCACATATAACCCTATTTGGTATCTCATTTTCATTCTGTTTTTATTGTATTTCCAATTCAACACATTTTAAAAAAGATTTTATTTTTAGCTAGATGTTTTTGTTTTATTGAGATATGATATAGTAATGCCTATGTAGGTACATAACCTGATAAATTTAACAGTGAACTATTGCCATAACAACAGCACTTTGAGCCATCACTGATATGCCTCATTTCCTCAGAGCTTTCTTAGAAATTGTTAAAACCCTGTTCACTTTAGGATAAAGATTGTTTGCACAAATGTATAAAGAATCCTCAGATGTTGTTCATCTTCCTCTGATGTCAGTATCTTACATAACTATGACAGTTATGAAAACCTGTAAATAATCATGGCACAGTAATTTTGCAACCTTACTCGAATTCCATACTCTTTGCCACCAATCCCTCTTTCTTTTCAGGGATCCAGTCATACATACCACACTGGCTGGTACATTTAGTTGCCATATCATGGCTGTCTCTGCTGAGCCTGAACATTTTGAGAAGTGGAATGTCTTCTGTTCCATTGGTGTGCTCTTATAATTAGAATGTGATCACGTGTGTTGAATAAGATTGTTGAGAAAGTGATGGGATCTACTCAGTGCAGCATATCAAGGGCATCCTGTCCTCTGCATACTGACTCATCTCTCTAGTCCTTCCTAGTGCATTCTTTAAGTTGATTTTTGGTTGTTGAACTCTTACTGTGCCTAATTTATAAATGGACTATGGATGTGTCTTTCTAGAAAGTTTAGTACCCATAGGGTTTGTACTTTCTGCCCTTTCACAAATCCTCTTGAGGCATTCAATGGAACCTAATCTAAAAGGAAGAGGATACTGTTTAACTATCTTTAATGTGAATATTGCTGTTATTTTGTCCAGTATGTATAAATTTTATTAGTATATTTATTGAAATCCCATTAGATTATAACTTAGAATTGTATCTTTAGAGTATTGACTTGTTGTTTGTAAGAATCAGGGTTCTATGTAGTTGTTCAAGTTTGTTGATGCTTTTTAGTAGTATTTCACCATTTCCTTTCTTAAGCTTGTATATTTCTTATTTCATTACTTCCTATGTATTTAATATTCTTCATTGGATTTATAAGTTATAAGCTGTAATGATAAACGGCACATTTGTTCAGGGTATAAGTAACTGTTTATTGTAGAAATTACTTACGAGAGAAAACAGACAACCCAGATGAGTCAAGTAGCTTTTGCCACTGAACTGGAATCTGTAAAGAGAGAGTGCAGCTCTGCTGCACAGTCTTTTATAAGAACCTCTGTACACGCTGCTATCCACACCCAAAAGTGGGCCTGGCTAGTGGTGTAGTTCACCGCCCTTTCATTACTACATTCATATGCATCTCTAGTCACGCCCAAAGTGAGTGTGGTTAGTGACGAGGTTCACCAAGCTATCATTACTACATCCTTATGCGCCACATGTCTAATGGCATAGTCCTAAGTCTCCTCCTACAATTCCCCTTTTAATCTAAAGAAGATATTTAAACTTAAAACAAAACTAACTTGTGTCAATGAACAAAATGTCTCAAACATCTGTCCCATCTAAACCTAAACTTATATGAAAGAAATACCCAATTCTGAACACCTCCTTCCATTCCCAACCTTAAAATAATTGAAAACTAACACTAGCAGGTGTAAACTATCCTACAATATCAATAGTAGGGAGAGGGGTTGTGGAATTCTCAAAACTACTTCCTGCTGAGATGGTATGATGACAATCTCATGGGGACCTGTGAGACGAAAAATGTTAGTGTAACAAAATCTTAAGTAGATTAGACAGTCTCTGTTTGTCAGGAGATGCTTGATTGAAGTCCCTGACTGGAGTTCTAGTATTGAGTGAAGTTCTCGTCTGAAGCTCTGACCAGATTGTAGAAGGTGCATTGTATCAGTTCCTTGGTCTGGAGATGTGCCGAGTGATGTATTTCCAAGCCAGTTTCAGGATGATGCTTGTCAGGTGGAGTCAATAATGTGGGGCAGTTCAGATGCATCAAGTCGAATCAGGTGGTGTCGATGAAGTGGAGCCCCATTCTCTTTCCGAAGCAGTTCAAGATTGCTGTCAGGAAATCCCTTGTTCTCTGGAAAACTCAAACATTAATGTTAACAAAGAAATTTTTATCTTTTATATGTATGCATACTGGGAAAGACAGTAAACATGAAGAAGATTAGACTTTTCAGAAAAAGAAATCCACAGATAACAGTCCCTAAACTTTCTACTAACCCCTTTGAACAGGCTGGGAATTATAAGTAGGCATTGTGAAGGCAAATTTTTCTCTATTCCCTTCTTGTAAAGGTATAGTAAAAAAGCAGTCTTTTAAATCAATCAATAGAATAGACCATCCTTAAGGAAAACTAAACAAAACATAATGAAAACAAGGGAAAGGAATTCCAGGCTCTAAACATCCCATTGGCTAAAATGCTTTTATTTTTCCCTCAAATCTGTTAACATTCTCCATTTCTGTGATTTCCTTTTAATGACAAATATAGGAGAATTCCAAGGACTGGTCGACTCTTCAATATATTGAGAACCTAGCTGCTCCTCTACCAGCTGTTCTAGTGCCTGTAATTTTTGTGATGTCAAAGGTCATTTTTCCGCCCATACAAGTTTGTTGGGTAAGCATTTTAAATGTAGGGCTGTTGGTACACTTGTTGGTACCAGCCTTTGTACCCTATTTATATACAACCTGAGCAGTCTGTGACTGCTTTTGGTAATACCTTTTTATATTTCTCTAAGAAGCATTCTTTATTTTGTGATTTGTTTCTGAGATTGGAAGAATGCTAATCTGTGTTTCCCATTGCTGCATCAAATCACATCCCCATAATTTCATTGCTATGTTACTCACATATGGTTTAATTTCCTATCTGTCCTTCTACCCTACACATTAGACCTGTAGCTCAAGTTCTAATTGGTTTTAATAATAAAAACCTGGAGTGAGACATTGGGATAAATGCTGAAAAGTCAGAGAAGTAACCTAGCAAGCCACAATAGAGAACTCTTACCTCTACTAAATCCTCAGACCAAAGGGGTGATCCTGTCCTGATGAATCCTCATACTGAATGCTGTCTCTATGAAACTTCAGACTGAATGCCATGAGCTCCTCTCTCTGCCCAGTCATATCACTCCTGTCTCCACCTCCCTAGTGTTGGTATTAAAGCCAAGTACTGGGATTAAAGGGTGGGTCCCCACCACCTGGCTGTTTCTCTCTTAGACTGGATCAATCTCCTTGTAGCACAGGGTGACCTTGAAGTCATGGAGATCCACCTGCCTCTGCCTCCCAAGTGCTGAAATTAAAGGTGTATGCCACCACTGCCTGGTGCCTATGACTAACTAGTGTAGCTAGTTCCACACTCTGAATAACTTTATTTGTTAGATCACAAACAAAATACCACCACACTTCCCGTTTTTTTGGGGGGGGGTTAAAATTAATAAAGGTTATAAGTAATACAAGAAAAACTATATACAATAAGTACAATAACTATATACAATATATAAGGCAATAAATACAATCAACAATATCTTTTCATTTGACAAATTCAGAGAAAATACTCCATTATCTATACTATCCTGGTCATTCCAAAAGGTTGTACATAATTCTTGTTTTATCCTAACTTGCATATTTCTCTCAGAAGTATCCTTTATTTTCTGATCTTGGAGGAATATTCATCTTTTTTTTTCCTGCAACAAATCACATCCCCATAAATCCATTGGTATTGTTAGACACATATTTTATCAGTTTTCCTATTTGTTCTACTGGCCCTATACCTATGACCGATCTTCCACTTTGTTTTTCCTTTGATAAAATTCCCAATCCCTAGAAGCTGAACATTTACTTGAATAGTCCACTCGGGTTGCCAAGTTTTCTGTGCAATTATTGTTACATCTAGTAAACTTTCAATTACAATGACATTTGTGTTTTCCTTTGGTCCTTGATTATTTATAGAAGTTTGCCAAAATACTCTTGTAATTTTGTTTTGTTTATTGAAGGTTTCTGTCATCAAGAGCAGTGTTGGCTTTAACAACAGGCATTAGGTCTTTTAGTTGCTCTATGGAGCAGTCTCCCCAATGTTGGCAGGGAATGATTGAACTAAATTTGACGTACAGGCCTATGGGAGGCCCTCTGAGGTATTTCCCAATGGTAGACGTTACCTTGCCTTTCCCTTGTTATCTTTATGTATTAGTCCATTGCTGGCCTTTGCCACACCTTCTGCATACTCCAGAATTCTAAGGCCTTTTATTTGAATTGTCTGTAGTAAATATATGCTCCTAGGAAAATGTTGCCTACAGTTTGTTTTCAAATGACCTTGTTTCCACAATTAAAACATCTGACATTTTGATTTGTCTTAAAATTTCTAGAAAATTTCCCCTGCCCATCAATGCCTAAGGTAGGTGGGAGAGCTGTCTCTCTGATCATAAGAGTGGGAGAGCCATCAATGTCTCCCCACCAGCTGCAACATTTCGGAGAGTAGGCCTTGCCCTATACCAAAGTAGCACAATAGAGCCATCACTGTTATTCCATCTATCTTGTGGTGACATGGGGAGGGGATAAATGTCCTTTTCCTTCCCATGCCCACCCATCATCACAGTAGGCCAGTGAGAGAACTAGCCATGTTTTCATAGAGTGAGAGAGCCATCCCAGATCCTCACCAGCTGCAAACTTGCCAGGGCAGTACAGTAGGACCAACTCTGTTATCAGAGGTGTGGGTGAGCCAGCCTGAAATTGTGATTATGGGAGAGCTGTTCCCATTTCCAATCTGGCAGACCAACCCTGCAGCTGCCTAGGCCCAGACCTAGGGTATGGCTTGGCCTACTCAAACATATAACCCACCTATGATCTGCTGTAGCCTGTGAATGCACTTGACCTGAAGACCCAAAGCTGCAGTATGTCTACAACACTGGCTGCCAGCAGGATGTCCAGGAAGAGTCCTAGTGGGGGGTCAGCATCTATTGTGTAGTGGAGACTTAG